GAAACTCGGCTCCCTCTGGGCAAGGGGCCGATCCTGCGATTGGTGGGTGATGGGGGTCAATGCCTGAGGGCTCCCAGTATGTGAGAGGGGGCAGGCTGGGCTGAGGGACACTTGCCCCCCCCACCCCCCAACCCAGTGCACGAATTTCGTGCACCGGGCCCCTAGTTTAGTATAATCTCACTCTTACAAATGACAAAAAGTGGCTTATAGAAGTTACATTTACTGACATTATATCTTAATTCATGCAAGTACAAGATACCAGAATGAGAAAAAAATATTATGCAATATATAAATGCCCAGAAAAAACGAAGGAGTTAACAACTTTGGTAGCTTCTTAGTAAGTTGGATAATTGTATAAAATTTTTGCCAACAAACTAACACAAGGAAAACACAACTGTTAATATATGTAGTGTAGAATCACTTTAAATTAATCAACTGTCAGTGGGAAAAAACTGAGGGCTATCAATAAATAGATTTAATAGTTCACAAGTAAATATACCTATACTTTTTCCTACTTAATGCTTGCAAGAGAAGGAAAAATAATTTTAAAAGGTGAGATCCCAACTAGATTAAATAGTAAACTCAACATATGAAGTCATGAAGATACCAACCAGCTGCCTGTGACTGCATAAAACTTCCTACTCCAGCAAGATTAATAACAGCAGCATGCTGAGCAGGTAAGACCTTTTCTTGACTGGTTGAGCCTTGTTCAGAACCCTAAATAAAAATCATACATGAGTTGTATAAAAAGAAAAACCATTTGTATTGGTAAGAAATTAATATTTTCCTTACAGGACAAAAAAAATACCAGTTTCAGACTCATAAAAACAGTAACATAAGGAAAAGACTTCAGAAGAATTAGCAAGAACAAATCCTACATAATAAAAGCCTAATATGCTAAGTGTCCGGTCATCCTATCGTCGGTTCAACCAATCAAAGCATAATATAACCACTCACTATGATGTGCACTGACCACCAGGGGGCAGACGGGCAATGGAGGAGCTGCCCCCTGGTGGTCAGTGCACTCCCACAGCTAACCTCCCATTGCCGGCCAACCTCCCGCGGTCCCTTCCCTCCGGGCCAGCCAGCCCCCACAATCAGCCCAATCGCCGGCCAGGCCAAAGGACCCCACCTGTGCACAAATTTGTGCACCGGGCCTGTAGTACGAAATAAAGTTACAGTTCCATAAAACAAAACATGGAAAGCTAGAAAAGCACATACCTGCTCCACTGGCTGTTGAGGACTGGAAGTTGTGGGTTGCTGAGGTTGTTGGGGTGTAAATTGAGAGAGCTGTTGCTGCTGCTGCAGAGTGTTGAAAATTAGTGAACCACCTGGAAGCTATTAAGAATTTAAACATGAATTAATCAATTTCACATTGTTTAAATTTCTTTATTCCGCAAGTATTTTTGGAACATTCACTATGTGTCAAGTACTCTTCTAGATATTGAGGAAAAAGAGGTAAACAAAAATAAAAGTAAACATCTCTGCCCTTTAAAAGAAAGGTTTGAAAACAATTTTTAAATGTTATTACTAAGGGCTCTCAAATATGTTAACACTATCAAATCATTCTGCTTCAATTTAGTGACATATACAAATATGCACATGGCTTTTAACTTTTTTATACCTCAATACAAAACAGCATTAAGTACATTAGAAAGTAAACAAGAAGCCAGTGAAAATCAGAGATATACTTATGAAAACTCATCTCTCAAAATTTGTTCTAGCTTTGCCAAATCCCAGGACTTCATGGATGCTTATATAATATAGTGAGAAATTCCAAAGCTGAAAAGAAAGTGCATTAGATGTCCATATTTAGTTTGGAGACATTACCAGCTTTGTCATTCAAAATCTAAATTAAGTTAAATTAAGAAAAGGTTTTAAAAAGAAGTATTCAGAAAAATTTATGTTAAAAATTAAAACTAGAAATCTCAAATGAATCAGGAAACAAATGGTTTTTCTTTTTTATTCTATAGGGGTTTAAATTATAAGCACTTTGAAGTCCTTAAGAACAGTCCAAATAAATACCAAATACAGAATTCTGAGATCTGTAGAGTTAAAAAGTAAAAAAATAAAAAAGGTGTCCTTGGGTCAAAATCTCTACACCCAGCACAGCTTATTGTTAAGTAAATTTGGGCACAGCACAGGTCAGATGTTCCTTCCTCAATCAGTTAGATAATAAATGTAGCAAAATTAATTTTTATGGTGGCTTTGTCATTATTCTTTATTATCAGTTCTATTAAGGAATTCCATTCCTCTTTTCACTAAGACTAATCCCTGACAGAAATTCCAACAGCAATATGTAGGAAAGTTGAATAAACCAATGTGATTTGTGATTTGTCCATATTGCAAGTAAATTGTTCTGTAATTATAGTCTGTATATAGTAACACTGTTTGAATCTTGGACAAGAAGTTTTAAGTTTTGGCTCTAAACACATTTCCTGATTTATTTCTGAACTGGAGGCCTGGTGCACAAAATTCGTGCACGGGTAGGGTCCCTAGGCCTGGCTGGTGATCAGAGCTGATTTGTGGGGTGACAGGCGGGGTGATTGAGGGCCCCCCACTGGCACCCGCCTTGGCTGCATTGGGGCCTGTGGGCTGGGGGCAGCTCCTGCATTGAGAGTCTGCTCCCTGGTGGTCAGTACACATCATAGCAACCAGGCGTCATATCGACCAAGCATTTTGCCATTCAATTTGCATATTATGCTTTTATTATACAGGATACCAGATTGAGTTGATTTGTCTTTTACTGTTATTTCCCAATTTTGTGACTCTAAATCTTTATATTCTTGTCTACCTTTTCTAAATTCTCTGTAGATAATCCTATCAATTTCCAACCTGGGATAATAATGGAGTCCAAACCTTACAAAGGACCTAGAGCCTAACACCTTAAATATTTTTTTTTTAATATATTTTATTGATTTTTTACAGAGAGGAAGGGAGAGAGATAGAGAGTTAGGAACACGATGAGAGAGAAACATCGATCAGCTGCCTCCTGCACATCTCCCACTGGGGATGTGCCCACAACCCAGGTACATGCCCTTGACCGGAATCGAACCTGGGACCCTTCAGTCCGCAGGCTGACACTCTATCCACTGAGCCAAACCGGTTTCGGCAGCCTAAATATTTTAAGTTCACACTCAACATGTATGAAATCTCCACTTTTGATCTCTCTTTATATGCTGTCTATGTTGGCATTGATATCATTTATAAGAAAAGCCTCATCATTAGACACAAATTGTCATCTAACGAATATTTACCAAATGATTCTTAGGTGCCTGGCACTGTGTTAAGAAATCATTCTCCTCAGGAAAAGAACAAAGCTATTTTTAAATCCTCTATTCAAGTACAAAATCTTTTGTAAGCAAAAAGTACTACATATATGTAGACACAAAATATTTATTGAGAGAGGAATTATTTTTTAAGTATAGGTACTACTGCTATTGTAGGCAACTGTTCACTTTGTAGTTGTCAATTCTCTGCATCAAAACATTGAGTTCTTGATTTGACAGAGGTCAATGAAAGTGTAATATGTAGGACACCCATTCTTTCTTCCTACCCTCTCAACCATACAAAGGTAGCAATTATAATCATATCCTCAGAAGATTCTGAACCATCTCAAAATTTCAAATGCTGACATATATAGGTATGCACTGTTACAAAAAAATCAAAGTATGAAAACTTTAATCAAGAGCAGTGTTTCAGGTTTACCTGAAGTAGATTCAAGGGCCTGAGACTTGAAGTAGTCTTTAAACCAAATGGAACACCTATTAAATACAATTCCTGGTTAAAACAGGGAATTAAAACTATTAAACATGAAAACACTTTATACTAATATAGCATTTTAAGTACTTTCTGCATAGATTTGCTTTATTTTCTATACTTTTAAAATGGTCTTAAAAACAATACCCATCAATACTGAGATCAAAGATGTGAGCAATACATGTACATTTTATTCTATATTTGAGAAACTGAGACCTCTTTATCACTATTTTGACTAGTAGCTGGAAAAAGTTATTTAGACATAGGCAGAAGCCATAAATATAATTAAACTAGCACAGTTATGGCAAACACATTTCAGGTGTTGGCTTCTATTGATATTCCTAAGTGCTATATACTATATAGTACACAATAATCATAACAACCGTATCTCTGAGAACCAGTGTGCTCCATGCAATTATTTTAAAGTACAAATGCTAATATGACTAATACTAAAGTACAATGATTTTTGTTTGTAGGGTCAAACTAATAGGAAATAATACTGTTGATTTTGTGACAACATAGAACACATCATAAATCGGGGTTGGCAAACTTTTTCAGTAGGCTAACTGACCAAGTTTTGTTGGATATTCTTCCTCTTCATTTTTCTTTACATTTTAAACACGTCTTTAAAAATGTAAAATCTACTTTAGACTGTAAGATTTTTTATTTGCTGACCCTGGTCTCAAAGTACATGTATATTTTTCTCACAAACGATATATACCAATTTGAACACTAATTAAAAATGTATCTAGTCTGCTAAGCAAATTTTATTTTAAAAGGTAAGAGGCAGGCCCTGGCAAGGTAGCTCAGCTGGTTGGAGCATTGCAGGTTTGATTCCTGGTCTGAGCACATAAGGGAGGCAACTGATCAATGTTTTTCTCTCACACAGATGTTTCTCTTTCCATTCCTCTCTCTCTCTAAAAATCAATAAAAAACAGTCTCAGATTAATAAGTAAATAAATAAACAGATAAATAAGTAAATAATAAAAAGGTAAGAGGCAGGAAATTTTTGTATAAGAAACTTAAAAAAAGCATAATCAGATGAAACTATGACACTGTTGATTTTCCTTTTGGGAATTCTCATGAAAAGAATTGACAAAACTCCATTTAAAGGTAAATAACAACTATATAATGCTTATTGCTTATCAAAGGCACTTCATTTATTAATCTGAAATACCTATTGTAGTTAGAGAAATTTACCCATACTTTACATCAAATGAAATGGAATCTAAGGAAGAAAAACTGACTTCTTTCAGGAACCACAGTTTTAGCATCTAAAGCCATGTAAACATGAACATTCTAAATTCAACATCTGATTCCATTTCCAGTGCTTCCACCACTATAGCACATTAAAATAACATCAGCCAAAATTAGGAAATTACAGAAATATGTTAACATGCTTGTATGATATTCTTTGGGCTCTCTTAAGTCAGTGATTTTCAATCGTTATGCTGCAAGAATATTTAAGACATGCAAGGGGTACAGACCTCTTTTCGCTAGATTGTTAAATAAAACAAATGACAATAGCCTACACAACAATAGCCATCTGGTGTGAATGCTCTGTCTTGAACCATAAATATATGTCATATTATAGAGTTGTATCATAAGGTTGCATCTGATTGGTCAATTCTTGGTACCAGAAATCCTTATATACAAGTATAGGCACCTGATTTTTTTTTTTTAATCCTCACCCAAGAATATGTTTTTATTTTTTAAGAGAGAGCGCAAAACATCAATTGGTTGACTCCTGTATGCTCCCCAACTGGGGACTGTGTGTGCCCTGACCAAGAATCAAACCCCCAACTTTTTTTTTTAATTTAATTTTATTGTTTAAAGTATTACAAATAGTAGTACATATGTCTCCTTTTTTTTTTCCCTATAAGCCCCCAACTTTTTGATGTATGGGGTGACGCAACTGAGCAACCCAGCCAGGGCTAGATACTTTGTAGCAAAAAGGGTAGGTCATTACTATCATTATTTCTTTTTGTAAATCAATCAAAATTATACCTATTTTTTGTCAGATCGGCAAAAATATATTTTTTGGTGTGCCTGCCACAGAATTTTAGTAATTAGTTTATGTGTGTCATGAGGTGAAAAAGGTTGAAAATTATTATCTTAAATCATATAACGTTTTTGATTAATTTTCTTACTATGTCAAGTTTGTTTTTCCTACTAAATTTTTTCTTAGCAGAAAACTGGATTGTGCCAAGATATTACATTACATTCTCTTAAGGAGCATTAAAAAATAGCACAAGCTGTTATAGCTGTTTTCCAGTATATGAATTAACAGTTACTACTACAATAAAACTACTATTGATGGTAGCGAATATTTTTTAATGCTTAGGTCTAAGGTATAATTTAAGCACTTCATCTGTATACACTCATTTAATGCTCATAATTAAGAGGCAATAAGGTATTATTATCCCTATTTTATTTATGAGAAAAGAGAAGCACAAAGGTAACTTTCCCATGATTACACAAAAAGTTAAGTTACACAACTGGGATTCAAACTCAGGCAGTCTGCCTCTAGAACCTGGGCTTTTAATTGCCACGCTATGTCGCCTTTCTTGCACAATGTATGTTTTCAAGATACATTCCTTTTACCTGGAGTAAGACTACACTGATAATAATAAGACTATCAATGTTAACTTTATTATAATGTGTAGAAGGCAAAGATATAATTTGCAAAGATTTATAGGCTTATCAAGTTTCTTTCCAGAAGTTGATTGCTAGATGATTTTTAATTTAAATATCAGAACTTTAAAGGCTTTCAACATTAGCCTTTCCTTTAAAAAGAGCCTTTTTGACATGATACTATGTTAAATATTTTTAATAACAGCATTAAAATGACATTTTTATATCAGCATGTATTTTAATTTTTAAAGAGATTATTATATTCAATATTCTGACCTGCTTGAGAAGCTGCCTGCATTGTACCAGGTAATGCATTTGGTAGCAGACCTCCTGAGGGGAGAAGGCTACTCAGGTTTATTCCTGCAGGAGTTATGGCACCAGTGTTACAGCCCAGCATAGAATTTGAACCATTCATCAAAGCCTGAGCTCCACTACAGGAGAATAGACAAAGCATTAAACTTATAATATATATATTTAAAAAACAGACTTAATAATTCCTTACATTAAAAAAGAAAAAAACAACACCACTATTAAACCAGTTAGATAATTCTATCCTAAATATTAATTTCAAGGCTGTTTCCTTTTTATGCTAGAAAGTTACAGCAAGGTTAGCTAAAATTAAGTACACATACTGCATATTAATCAAGGTTATAATATAATTTCAAAGAGTAAAGCATTAAAAGATAGTAACAGAAGACGAACAGAAAAATCTAAGCTACTGTCAATATGTAATAGTATTTTATCAGTGTATATAAACAGATGCATTACCTAAAATTAAAACATACTTGGTTGAGATAGCTTCTATCCATATTTAAAGTATTTTCTTTCAGTTTCAGTAACATGATTTTATTCTTAATTTCACAATGAGAATTCATTCAGATTGGTGAGAATATCTTTTGAAAAAATCAGGGCATCAATGAAGACTTACCAAACAGAGCCCACTACATTGATGAAGTTAAGTCCAGCAGAGTTTGCCATGACCTGGGTGGCTGTGGTTCCTGGAGTTATAGATGTTACCATGGTGGAAAGAGGAATGGTCGTTACAGGCATTGCCTGGCTCAGAGACCTTTGCTGATGAGCAAACTGAGTTAACAAAGTGGGCTGAGGGGTGAAGCCTGAATCTTGGGGAGTAGGGGTAGTTGAAGGGGTAATAGGAGTTGAGCTCTGAGCATCAGGAGGGTGTGGGGTCGATGAAAGGGTTGGTGTAGGAGTAGATGGCTTAGGAGTTCCAGATCCTGCTCATTGAGAAAAATAAAAATTGCTAGGTTGTTATAAATGGCCAGTCTTTTTAAAAATAAGGTTAATGGAATTTTACTTAGCACTGACAATTTGTTTCAGGTTTTTTTTTTAAAGCAGTTAACTGCAAGTGTTAATTTCTACACATGATACATGAGTGTTGCTACACTCAATTACAATTAAGGATGCAGTATATCACCTAAAACTCCCATCAGATGTTATTATAATAATAGTAAAAATATACATTTGTATTCTACCACAGTACCCATTTAAGTTATTTTCCTATATGCTACCTCTGGTCTAAAAAGTTTAAAAGGAATTCAAATTAATTTTTTGTTATTCACAATTTCACTAATTTAGGACTTCATTTAAAAATATTGCTTATTTTCTGTAACAGTCTGAGATAAACACTGAACATATTTAATAAATTACATATGGTTAACAGTCATATTTGGCACCTAAATATAGATGTTTAGGTCCTAACACATCAAGTTTATCCTGACAAGCAAATTACAAAACACAGCAATAAAGAAAATATTTGATAGATAATACTGCATCTTTAACAGTAACTGTGTACTCTATTTAATTGTAGAATGTATAGAAAATCTGTTGTGAATGAAGTATGCACAGTTTATCAACTTTTTAAGAAAAAACAAAAACCAAAAAAGTAAAACCAAAAGCTCTTGAGGTGTTTTCTTTTTTAGCTTTCATGTCCTGCAGAAAGAAAGGAAAGAAATGTGAATGTCCAGAAGCTGTCACTCAACCCTTACTTAAAGTAACAACTGTGTGCAGATTAGCATAATTCATACCCACAACATAAGAAGTGTGAATAAGACTTTCAGGAAATTGATATATTTTTCTTTGTGCAAAACAAGAAGGCAGAAAAATTACACCTTTTGAGCTATCAAGATGAAGATGTTTATATCTAATGAGAAGACCACCCTATCACTGTGCAGTGTACTAAAACTTTCAGCACACTTTAGCTACCTATAAAAAAAAATCTAAAAAACTGGAATGCTTTCTTGCAAATTGGGATTGAAATATCTCAGATATTTATTAATTTGAAGAAATTCTCCCAAAAGAATTCTTATAAAAGTCTTCTTAATGATAAAAAAAAGTATTCAGTACTAAAAATTACATTTTAGTTATCTTCAGAATAATGCTTTATAATCATCACGTTTTACTAACTGACAATTTATAAGAGTGTAGAGTGTTTCAGAAAAATTGGCTTTCGGTTTATTGTATCACCACCTTGGAAATAGTTGGCTTCTTACATATACAAAGACAGGACTGAACAAGAACTCTTATGACATTTTCTTCATATTAGCCCCATAGTTTACATAAAATGTAAAGTGACCCCAGGATAAAATGAAATAAAAAACATTTGGAATCTTATTGCCATATCTAACTACCAGATTTTTTTAAAGGAGATGTATAGGCTGTAAGTCTATAAGAAAGGTTTACACAAGGTGCATACATAAATATAGAAAAACAAATAGAATTATATTAAACACATAATACATACAATCAACAAGAGATTTGCCTCAAGATTATCAAAACTTATACATTTTGGGTACACAGTTCATCCAGATTTCACTATTTCACTGGTCAAAAAAGCTATCTAAGAAACACTAATGCTAAAGCTTATGAAGAGTTAATGTGAGAATTTAAATCAGGACTCACTTTGTGATGAACTGGCAGGTGACAGGGCAGCTGGAGAAAGCATGCTAACTTGACTGAGATCCACAGATGACTTTCGAGAAAGACTTGGTGGCTTAGAAGCAGGAGGAGGAGTTGGAGATTTAAGAAAGCTGCTGGCCTGTTGTGGCGTAAAATAGTTACCTAGAATATAAAATTGTTTCTTATAATTCAAAATTTTATGAAAATCAAAATATGAATAAAAATTTAAAAACAAGTTATGACCATATGCTATTTCTTACACTAGATTACAGAAAAGTAAGGAATGTAATACCTGTGGAACTATTTCCTGAGCTTGAGGGAAGTTTGATGGGTGGAGGTCGATGTTTTATTCCTTTCCCTAGTACTGAAGACTGAACTGACACAGTCTCAGGCTGTAAAAAACAATGACATTAAGTATACTTGTTACAATTAAGGTCAAATCAGTATCTCATAAATTAATACCACTATAATTCCCAGAAGAAAAAACATTTTATTTTTTAAAAATATTTTTATTTAAGAGAGGAAGGAAGAGGAAGAGAAAGATAGAAACATCAATGATGAGAAAGAATCATTGATTGGCTGCCCCCTGCACGCCCCCTTCTGGGGATAGAGCCCGCAACCCAGGCATGTGCCATTGACTGGAATAGAACCAAGGATCCTTCAGTCTGCAGGCTGATGCTCTATCCATTGAGCTGGGCAGAAAAAAACATTTTAAAACTGCAAAGTACTTTCAGTGGTTATAGAGATTGAATATTACAGATGTTACAAAAGAATAAATTTCAAATAAGGACATCTTATACAGAAACAATGAAGGAAAAATTTCCGAGTAAGAGAATGGGGAGAAAGAGTTTGTGAGAAAGGGGCAGAGGAGTAAGATGGAAACAAAGCTTAATCCTTAAATCTTTTCCAGAAAAGTAGTAACTATTGAAGCCAGGTGATTCATTACACCTTTTGCTCTACCTTCGTGTATATTTGAAAATTTCCATTATAAAAAGTTAAATATAAAGTTAAAAGTAAAAACAAAACAATTGCTACATCCCTCAAAAAATAACATATCACAGATTACGTGAGAAATAATTAGGCACAAATAACAAACACCATAAACAATATTTGGCATAAAAAAGAAAATAGGAAAAACCAAGATGGCGGCAAAGGTAAACACCGGACTTTGCTGCCTCGCACAACCACTTCAAAAATACAACTAAAAGACGGAACGGACATCATCCAGGCTGGCTGAGTGGAAATTCTACAACTAGAAGGAAAGAGAAAAGCATACCAAGACTCAGATGAGGCGCAGTGCGGAAGTAAAATACTAAGGTGCAGAGGCGCACATGGAGAGGGCTGGCGGCTGAGGACATGGTTGTCGTTTTCAATCGGGAGGGAGTCTCAGGCTCTGAGCTCCAGTTCCAGGCGAGTCTCTGGGGTGTGGG